CTCGTCCTTGGCTTTTCCTAGCTTGTGTGTTAAAGGCTTTGCAGTGTCTCTGGTGTTCTTAAAGAGGTACATTCTCATAGCATTCTCTGGTCCTAAGTTAGTGGGTAAGGTCTTCTTCTCTTGCGAGAACACCTTTTACTTTGCTCCTTTGAATATGATTTTCCTAGAAATACAACATTCTGCAGGCTTTACAAAACTTAGGTTGATTTCGGTGTGTCTAAGTTTCTGTAATTTCTCATGAACAGGTTATCTACTTGTCAGCTCAGAAGCTTCCTCTCAATTGGAACAAGGAGAACTGTGGTCGTTTTTAGAGACAAGCTATAGTGGAAATTTTTCAGGTGTGTGGTCAAAATACCTTAAGGGTAATTGGCCAGGGGAGTTGATTCAACTGGTAGAAGCCCTCACGTCCATCATAGGTGTCGGATAATACATAAAAGTGTGTGCTCCTTCGAATGTGAGACTTCACTTTGCCTACCAGTTGTGAGAAGTAGTCCTGTAGCTCTTCTGAGAGTAGAGTTTTAGATTTCCATTTATAATTTTTACATTATTATATATTTGATTCTATAATTTTCTTTATGATTTTCAAAACTTTCCCTCTTTTATATGCTTCTACCTTATTATGAAAGTCCAACTTGCAAGCCACTCTCCAAACAGAGAACTTGGAGTACATAACTGTCCCCAGAATACAGCACATTACTCCACAATTGAGCAAGAGTGGATCTTGAGCTCCCACCATAAACAGGTCTCCATTGTGCTTCCTTAGTTTCACCCTCGGAGTTTCTCTATTTTCATTGTTCCTTCATAACTAATTTTGCTAGTGTTATGAATCGGGTGACCCCTGTGAAATGGTCGTTTGATCCCCAAAGGGGTCATGACCCACAGTTTGAGAGTAGCTACTCTAAAGGTTTTGGTTTCCATTTTCTCATTTTTTCTCCTCTCCCTTTAAAGTTTTCTTCATTCTAGTGATATACATTATTTCTGTTTTCTATCAGAGATGGTCAAAATGCCTTCTCAGTTGGAATTGTTTAACAGAAGTATTTCTCCATATTTTACTCTTTTAGGTGAAATACGTGTATGACTTCTGTTATTTTCAGCTATCTAAGATCATTTTCCCAGCTAGAAAATTGTGATCAACTTACGATATCCTTTAGCACTGTACCTTCATTTTTTTCTACCTGTAAATTGTTTTTTAATCATTTTATTCAGGGATTATACAGCTCTTATCACAATCCATACATACATCAATTGTGTAAAACACATTTGTGCATTAGTTTCCCTCTTAATCCTCAAAACATTTGCTCTCCACTTAAGCACTTGGCATGAGCTCCTGATTTTTTCCCCTCACTCCCTGTTCCCCCTTCCCTCATGAACACTTGATAATTTATTAATTTTTATTTTGTCATATCTTACACTGTCTGATGTCTCCTTTCACCCACTTTTCTGTTGTCTGTCCCCCAGGAAGGAGGTTATATGTAGATCCTTGTAATCGGTTCCCCCTTTCTACCCCACCCTCCCGGTATCAGCATACTCTCCAGTGGTCCCGAAGGGATCATATGTCCTGCATTACCTGTGTTTCCAGTTTCTATCTGTACCAGTGTACATCCTCTAGTCTTGCCAGATTTGTAAGGTAGAATTGGGATCATGATGGGGGTGGGGTGGGGCGAAGCATTTATGAACTAGAGGACAGTTGTATGTTTCATCGTTGCTACACTGCACCCTGACTGATTCTCTGTCACTAAGGCCACATTTTCCAATTACTGATACTGTTCCCAAATTTTACATTCATCAGTGCACATGATTGTGTGGGTTGATCAATGTCAGGTTGCAAAAGTTATGCAAAGTTTTCAATATATATATATTTTTAATCATTTTATTGGGAGGTTTTACAGATATAACATTCCATAGTTCAATCACATCAAGCAGCACTGTACAATTGCTACCACAGTTTCAAAACATTTTCTTCTTGAACTCCTTGGTATCAGTTCCGCCTTATCCTCTTCATCCCTATCCTTCAGTTACTTTATTTTGGAAACAGAACCTGAATCAAAGCATAAGCCACCTTATCTCCATACTCCTAACCACAGGGCTTGGAAGACCAGTACTAGTGTTAGAAGAAAACCTCCACAAGCCCCAACTATAAAGCTAGAGCTGATAATGCACAATCTCCAGATAGAGTTTTCTCCACAACTACCCTCCCTCCACTAAGATGTTAGTATACAGCTCCTACAGGTGCCTGACTTCTTGCTACTCAGCTAAAAGATGCCTAGCTTTAGAAGCAATTAGGTTCCTTTTGTTGCGATCACTCAAGGAAACAACTATCCTTTTGTCTCTTAAATATCTTAGGATGGGTCCTAAGGGATGGTTGTGTAATTGAAAGGCAGAAATAGAAAGGCAGACAGAAGTATTTAGGTACTCAACTCTTCCAGGATGCCAAGTCTTAGCAGGATAGAGAGAGAATGTATTCTTTCACCAATTTACCGTATATACTCGTGTATTCGCCGAGGTTTTTGGCATGTTTTTATGCAGTTTTTGTGGGAAAATATAGTTTTTGTGATATTTGGGTTGCCTTATACTCGAGTACATATGCCATAAAGTCTGGGGGCATGTAACACACACACACACACACACACCCCATAGACCTATGTACCTAGCAAGGTAGGCAATATCTGTACCCTGAAGGTCCCTGAACTACTTGGGTGAGCAACATAAGACCAGTGCCGAGGGCAGGTGGAGGGGAGTAACTGTCTCCTGAGTGGGGAGGCCAATAACAAGTCTGCTCTTATAGCTAAAGCTGGTAGCAGATAGTAATTAGCATGTGCTTGTATGAGGTATCATTAAGGTAGCACTATAATGAGGGGATATTGTGGAGATGATTTTTAATTCAGAGAATGTGACTGGGATTCTTTTCCAATTTACAAATGTGAATGCCTCTCTCCACCCAGATACAGGTCCTTACAATCTTCTTTCATTCTGAGAATAAATGATTTGTCTTCATCCACTCTTCTTGGTCCTCAGTTTCCCACATCCTGATACTTATCATGAAGTGTTCTAAAAGACTTCAGGATATTTCCACATTCGCACTTGTCTGTTCTGTTGTGTCTGTGCCTTCTGGAGGCTTCCACATCTCGCTACTATATAAACTCACTGCTAAATGACCTCACTTTCTTATTCCAGCATCGGAGATGAGGCCAATCTACCCCATTTTTGCTGTCTGCTTTCTTAATAGCACATGCTGTTCCTAAGGGCCCATTTGGCTGTGGAACTAAATCCCACACTTTGTTTGCTTTACCAGTTGGTGCACAAATTTAAATAACACTTGTAGTAACTGGTCTTACCTGCAAGCATATGAATACCAACCTACCACAGACAGAATTATACT